AACTAATCCTGGAGGATTAGGATACTAGTCAGATCCCACAAATGTATATATTCTTCGTACATCGTTATATCGTACGATTATAAATCATTTTAAATTTTTTATTTAAAATTAAACATAAGTAATATCGAACGAAAACTGACCGCATAATATAAAAACGAACACGATTGATTGAACATAAATAGTGTCTGTTCATCAAATATTGTACGGTACAAAATTATTTAAAATTAAATATAAATAATACCTAATGAAAACTGACCGTACAATACGATAAACAAACACGATTGATTGATCCTCTAGATCATCACAAGGAGAATGCAAAGAGAATACTCATCCAATCCTAAACACGAAACAAAGCCCAGATGAAAGCACGAATTACCATGTGTGCTTTGTAAGCGTCAATACAACATTTCTCTAAACACGGTCTCTTCACAATAACGTCGTATCATTGACAGCAGCAGTGTGTACGTGGTTCGAAACCGATTCATAACCAAAAAGGCCAACAAGACAAGACATAATTAAGGCAAATGCATAAGAAAACCAATGTCACTGGACACAATAATAGCTGGTAAAAAAGACACCACCACCAAATGACTTGCACTCGAAACCGATAAAACCAAAGACAACAACAGCGGAGCCCAGAGGCTGACACTTACAACAGGAAAGGCCCCAACAGCCCATTATTTCAACACACTCAAAGCAAAAGCAAACAAGGAAAAAACAGGACGACAAGTAAATCAACGACAGCGAAATACCCATCACTCTTCCTCCGTTTCAGACTCGGCGCTCTGGAGCCACCCGATGAACGGCTTGGCATTCTTCCAAATCGGGGAGCTCTTGCTCTTCCCAGCTACGCCCCGTTGGTACCACTTCATAATGTATTCCTCCTCCAGAATGTCAACATCGTACAACAGTTTTAGAACCAGAGCCACTTCCTTTGCAGCATCAGGGTTTGCCTTCCCACTGAAAGACTCGATAGCTTGCAATAGAACTGTCTGAGATCCCTCCTTCTGGGTTGCTGCAGCCAGGTAGTTTTTCTTCTTAGAAACCTCCTTAGAGAACCCCTTTCCCACACCTTCAAAGAGAGCCTCGAGTAGGGCATCCATAACTTCTTGGGGTGTGCCAGAAAGAGTGCCCAAAAAGGATTTAAGCTGAGCTGCAGACATCCCCTTTTGCAAGGATTGTTTAATCTCATTAACAAGTCTTTCGTGGGTATAACAATCAGCACCGTTCTGATGGCTCTTTGTCTCAGGCTTCTTCACTTCACGATCAGGAGACTGCTTTGGTGACTTTTTCTCTTCAATGGTAGAAAGCATCACCATATCAGCAGTAACAGCACTCAACTGCTCCTGGATTCGCTTCTTAGCAGCCTCCACGGAAGTGTCCGTCTGCCACTGGACATCATCGTCCCCATCCTCCTCAGCAGCTTGGTCGTTCTCATCTCCCTGGCTGTGAGCGGGGGAGCGATCCTCATCGGAACCATTGCTTTTCTTCTTGCTTGATGCTCTTGAACCCGAAGTTCCCTTCTTCTTTGCTGCCTCCTTCTTAAGCTTCTTTTGCTCCTCGTCAGCGGTCTCCCCTTCCTTAAGTTGTTCTTTGTCGGCCCTCCTCAAGCCTTTCTTTCCTTTAGCCGCCTTCTTCTGCTCTGGAGGATTCTTAAGGATAAAAGTTGTGAGCTTGTCCCTCATATCAACATCAGACACAAACCCACATGCAGCACATTTCAGATTTAGCATCTGCGTCTTGGTTATAATAATTTCAGTTTCTGGGTTTCCGCAACCATAGCACTGCACATATTTCTTGATGAAGTTCTCAAGAAGTCCAGCGAGCTTAGCAGTGTCATGAGCACCATTCACATGGGAAGTTCCAGTCTTCTCATCAAATTTTGATTGGGCTCCAAGCTCACAGCCAAAATACTTTGTAGTGTAGGAAGCAGGTCTAGCCAAGGCCTTTGCAATATCGACCATGTTAACCACATTAGTCTTGATGCCATTTCCTCTGCCTTCAATCTTAGTGATCATCCTTGGCATCTTATACCTGTAGAAGGCATCATCACGGTTTGAAGCACCAATGTTTTGTAGAGCCATGGTGTGAGAGATATGATAGATTATATCAGAAGGGTGTTGCCTCTTGAAACCAGAAATCCTCCTTTACCACACGGTTGCATAAATTGGCAACCAAGAAATGTGTGTGTTTCCCCTCTGACAAACCAAGATGTTTGCATTCAACTTCAATGGAAGCAGCTCTGCTCTTTTTTCTAGATGTAGGACTATATTCACCGAGTAATCCAATTGACGACAAAAAGAGAGTGGCCCGTTCAGACATAAAATAAGTTCTAGACGTCACACACTCCACTTTGGCGAATTGCAGATACAGCAGACTGAACTGCCAATTTCCTACAAACAAATAATATAGCTGTTTAGAACTAGTTTAGAGTAAGATAAAAATATGAAATAAAGAAAACAGATCAAAACAAAATTATTCATACTTCAACTCATCCTTTTCTCCTAACAACAGCAGGACAAATAAAAATACCAGACCTAACAAAAGAATCATTCACCCAGCCAAGTTCCTTGGAACAATTCCAAAACAGTCCCTATGAGCCTAGCAATGCACCACATCCCAGGGAAAAGCCAACTTAATTTCCCCCTTCATGTCCAGCAATTATTAACTTCCAAGCCCCAAAAAAATAAGCGCAGTGATTATATTGCTAAGAGCTAACCAGATTTGAAGGTAAAACGACATGTTTATGTACAACCTAATGCTAGTACAACATCATCACAATCCAAAAAGGCCAAGCAAATTTCTAATTCCAAATAATCAAGCAAATTTGTGATCCCAAAAACATGAAAAAGGTTTACAATACAAACACGAATTTAAACATATTAATTTTTTGTAACTAAGCACTTCAAAAAACATAAATGGCAAGGAATTGTGCATCGATACGCACAATTTTGGCAGCATAAGCAAAAAAATACGACTTTCCCTGTCAAGAGAATCAAACATATTATAAGAACCTACATAATATACTAAACATATACATATATATACATATATATATATATCGTAGCGATTCCTGTGAGCTTGAAATTTCGGGTATGGGTCAATGATAGATAAACATACCACAAAGTGATAGAAAAATCCAAATCCAACCAACACGGAATAAATCAATCATAAATCCTATCCAGATTAAACAAATTAATACAAAAAATAAACCCTAGAATCCAGAGAACAGTACCGATTCCAAATACAAAACACAAATCGATCCGGTAACGTCAAAACTTCAGCTCGGATCGAGCAACACAAACTCTCACGTAATCAAAAACAATAATCACAGATAAACTAGTTCACGAAATCGAAAATCGAAGATCGAAAATCAAAGAGCACAGATTATCGTGAGAAATTATACCTTGGGTGGGAAACGAAGAGAGAGAGAGATGAAAGAACCCTAGAGAGAGAAAGGCAGGGGTAGGGGGCGATGCCTTGGCGTCTGATGCGTGAGGGGAATGGAGAAAGCAGAGGGAATTTATATGCGGCGTGCGGGTGCGAGAAAGTACGACTAGGGCAAACTCACCGCCTTTAATTTATTATTTTTGTGAATTATTATTTCTTGTTATTATTAATTTCTCTCTACCAACCAATTGGTGCCAACAAGGATAATGCATTGTGCACAACTCACACACTCTCTCTCACGGTAACTAATCGCAAAGATTAGGCACCTCATCTGGCCGGAGTAAGATTTTTTTTCCTTTTTTTTTCTTTCTCTTTTCCTTTTTTTCTATTTTAACGATCACGGTTAAATCATATCAACATCTTATAGTAATTTTTTTAAACAAGAGAAAAACAAAATAAGAGAATTTGAGAAAAGAAGATAGAAGGAGATGGAAAGAGAAGGAGAAATAATTCTAATCCTACCTGACCATCAACGGGTCAAAATTTGAGAGCGATCAACTCAAAGAACAATGATTGCGTAACCAGAATTTCCACGAAAATGAGCAAATGGAAACGAAAATATCAATTTAATTAATTTTGTTTTACTTATTGTTTCTAATAAAATTATTATCGTGACAGAAAAGTTTGAAATACAAAACATATACGTTTTGTCGTAATTGATAGCCATAATTTTTGTCACAAACGGTATTTTATAATGGGAAGGCCGATTATTTGAATCGAAGACACAATGGTTTGAATAGTTTTATTTGGTTTAATTTTCTCGTACTTTTCTTTTTCTTTTTTTTTTTTTTTTGAAAAGCTACTTTTCTTTTTCTTCTGCATGAAAAGCGTTTGTACCTCGTTCACCCTTGCACCTCAAGTTCCGTGTCCACTTGTATAAGAGAAATAATTATCTATAAAAACTTACCCGTGGGCTATACTTCCAACTCCATGAAATCACTTTTAAGGATAATTACTAAAAGAAAAATATTTGAGTAACATGTAATTTGAAAATACAGGTAAATAAATAAGTAATAGCTGGAAAAAGTTGTTAGTGGCACTTCAAAATAATCATTTGCACAAGCACCTACTGTCAGAAGTACCGAAAGAGGAAGTGCGTATAATTATTTTAGAGCGATAATAACAACTCTCAAAGTAATAGAGGCTAATGAGCAACCTATTTTCGCTCCTAACAACAAAACAAGTGCAAAGGGAGAGGAGCCACAGACCATTGTTACGGTCAATTTGTGAGTCTGACCATACGGAACTTGTTCAACACTGAAACACCCAATCGAATGGAACACGTTTGATTAATAAGTTCGGTCCACTCAAACTTTTATTACAAAAACAAAAATTTCTATCTAATGCATGAATGCATACTCCAACTTATAAAAAGTACGAAGACCATGAGAGAGAGAGAGAGAGAGAGAGAGAGAGAGTTGAAAACTCATTCTCCGGATTGCCTTTGCCCCAAAACTGAAATGTCTTCGTATCATTTCTGCATTTCAAAAGAATCTCAACTTCGTATCAGTTTGAACTCAAAACGCAATGAGTTAAAATTAAATGCACCATTTAAGGAAGTTATTAACACTAAAAAATGATCAATGTGAGGTCCTTCTCAATTGCGTAGTGCATAATGAATACTTTTGAGTTTTCGTAACAATTACTTTCATTTTTTTTTTTTACAAAACATAGATAAAACGCACGTAAAAAGATTATTAGAAAGGACATGAAAAATACACAAATGGCGGGTCATATCATTTGGCATCCAAAATTCAGGATTTCATTTTATTGTCTACTTAACTGCTCATCCCTCAAAGCTGTGAAAGAACTGAACCAAAAGGGAAAATGGAAACTATTAACGCTCAAATATGATTCATATGTGCCATGATGATGGGTTAACATAAAATTTATCAAACAAATGCACCGCATACTTTTAACAAGAGAAGTAAATGACAAATGGATCCAAGAGAATGTACTGACCGCAGTGTTCTGCGTCTCTTATTGCTGCATAAGTCCATCTCAACCAGAGGATGTTTTCTTCTGTTGGAAATTGACAGCCCAAATCGGAACACCCACACCAATGCTGAAAGCGGCGAGCACTCCAAGGCTCACCTGCAACTTCTGGTTTTTCATCTGGTCCAAGTTATACATGTGTTTGGCATGCATGTAGGCTGGTTCATCGTGGCCATGTCCACCCATTCTTTTCACTCCAGTTGAGTGGAACCCTCTAGTCCCTGGAAAAAAGCACAAAAGCCACTATATCTACTTAGTACATACAATAAAAAAGATCCAGCACTCAAACTCAAACGAATCAACACCTCAGCTAAGTTATAAACTTAGAAGACATCCCGTCTTTCTCCACTATGGATGGATTGCTGAATGAGATACAGGACGATGCTTCAGTGGCACTGTGTAAAATTACTCAATACTTATTTCCAAAGGCAGATGCACGAAAACACCAGAAAACAGCAATGACAATGGTGGTCTCAAAGGGGTGGTTATTTTAAGTTTTGTTTAGAAGCTCGCATTTTAGAATGTAAAGCATGTAAAGATTCATATGCCTTTACACTTCAAACCACCCAACACAAGGTGGCACCATTGTTTTTACCAATAGGTCTCTCGGTGCAGACATAAAAATAGAACTAGGAGCTTCTTCTTAAGAGGATCGACACCATATTGGGCCCATATCAACACCGTCTTGACATCCATACTGACATTCCATATCAACATGATATCAATAATCTGGATAACATATTGACGACATATCAACTATCCCGCTCCCATTTAAAAGTTTCTCCTATTGCCCCTCCCATTTAAAAGTAAAAACTGCAAAAAGCTTTGGTTCACATGTGTCATGCCAAAAAGTGAGCCAGTGCTTAAGAAACTATACTCCAGCAAAATGGAAGTGGTTGGTACAGTAGTCCTTGGTGGCAAAAATAAATATTTGGGCAGTTCCCTGAATTTAAACATGAGAGAACATGTAAAACCTTGAGGCTGCCCCATAATCACTATTGGCCGGGTGAAATTGAGCCCTTGCACACAATTTCTCAAGAAAGAACCCATTTGGAACAGCCAAAAGTAATTTTCAGAAACTCCTAACCAATGTGGTATAGAGATATGTATAAGACCTCTCTTTCAAGTAAGAAGAGAAAATGGGATTACCTTCTTGCAAGCAAGAAAAGAGAGGAATTACTTTTGAGGTTTCTCTATGCCTGCATGGGAACACGAGCGCCATCAGAGGAAGCTCACCCGGTTCTCTAAAAGGCAATGAAGGAAATATACACAAAGAGAAGCATGAAGGAGGGGAAAGCTCTACAACTAGAAGCAACATGGGTGAAAAGTGGATGTGTGCTAGTTTTATCATTATTTCCAACGGATCTGGAGAGGATCAAAGAGATTACAACTTATGTTTTTATCCTTAACAATCCATCTGTGATGGAGAAAACCTGAATGCCATGATTTACACCTATCAGGCTATTCCAACATTTTTCATAAACCCCGACAGGAGAAAAAAAGTAAATAACATAGCAATCCAGACACATTTCCTAATTTGCATCAAGTTTGAAACCACCGAGCTTAAACCGTTCAATTTTAAGCTTATTAGCCACTCAAAAATTACCTCCAGGACTCGGTGTAATTCATCTAAACATATTATCGGTCTATCACATTGTGCATACACCTGAATATTACATAATATGCAGTGACATAAAACAAAATAAGCAACAAATGGCATCAAAATAACCTGATTTCGATAGCGAAGCTTCGGAAGCCCTCAACAACTTTGCGCAAGTCCGCATCCCTCCGTTCATGCTCATGATTCTAAGAAAGAACAAGCTCTTGCCTCTTACCACCTTAAACACCAAACAAAACTCGTTCGAATTACCAAAAAAAATTAAAAAACAAAAATTCAACAAACAGATTTCCGAATTAATTAGTCAAATTCTTAAGAACAGAAGATAATCTAATCAGATTTAGTTCATAACAAACAATAAACAACCACGGATCTACAAGAATTTCCAACAAAAATATATAAAATCTGATCCAGAAATGCAATTTTCGAGATCCGAACAAGCGTACTCTCACGCGATGAAAAAACAACAATTATTGACAATTTTAACGGAAAATTAGCGATTTAATAATTCGTTAAGAAAGATAGAAGAATCAAAACGGAAGAAGGACACAGAATAATGTGAAAGAGAGAGGAGGTGAAATGTTTACCTGGTAGAAATGGCGAAACCCTACACTTTTCAGCGGCTGTGCGTCGAGAGTATTCCAGAATACTGGGTTGGAGGAGGAGATGAGTTAAGGAAACCCCTCAAGGGCTTAAGCCCGGTAATAATTTGGGTTGGGCCTGGAATTGGTGAAGTTAGAGTGAGGTTGCAAAAGGAGTAATCGTTTGTACACCCAGAATTAATCTTCGGACACCCGAGTTGAAAACTTTAAATATGAATAATTATTTTCTTTAGTCAAATAACCAGTGAGAGTAGTACTAGGATGGGATGACTGACCACCTGAGAAGTAGTCGTGTTGCATCTTCCGATCTTTTCTGCCACATGATACTACGCTTTAGTTATTTAAGTGAGAGATCTTAGGTCTAGTGGTATCTCACCCCTCTTTTTATTTAGATAATATTATTTGTTACAAAAAAAAAAAAAAAAAAGAGCTTTAACGAAAAGCGTTCGGTACTATTCACTTTAACGAAAAATCACATTTTTACATTAAAAAGTCAATTATGGTACTATTCATTTTACCTTTTATTTTGTCTTTATTGTTAAAACTCAAAGTTTTCGAACTTTTTTCATTAGTTTTTCTAAAAAAAAAAATCAAAAAGTCCCAAACTTAATACAGTTTTTTTTTTAATAAAATTTAATTCAGAAATTAAAAACAAAAAGAAAAAAATTGAAAAGAGAGAAAGCATGAATAGGAGGCGGCGGCGATTTGATATTGATTTGTTGAGCAGTTCAATTTTTTGGCTAAACCAATTGCTTGAAGAACAAGACTGCACTTGGCAATTGTTCGAGAACTGAAGAAACCAGCCGCAAAATCGATTCCGATAGAATGGAAATCAAGTGGCGGAGAGAGAAGAAGAGAGAGGCGGTGTCGAACAAATTAAAGTGGCAGCAGTTAATATTGTGGTTCAAGGCGGAGGTCACCGGTGATTTGGTGAACCAGCCATGGCGGATCGTGATTCGTGGACGCGGTCCTTCTCCATATTTTCGTATTGTTTTATCAACCAAAGACAGAGGGGTTGGATTAGTGAAAATTACAGTATAATTCGTGATTGTTTAAGCTATTATTTAAACTTAATTAACACAAAAAGGTATATTAGTCCTTTTACCTGGAAAAAGGCGTTCTCTTAATACCTTTTTGTTTCAACATGCTAGCTGACCTCACACAAATTAAAGGACTTAAGACAAATGCGGTTAGCTCACCTTTGCTTGCTAAGTTTCTATATTTGGGTTTCTCCTTTTCTTTCTTCTTCCTAATTAAAAATTTGTGGAATGTGTTTAGAACGGTTTGATGAGTTGTTTGATTATTCAAGACGCTCTTTTGGATAGTAGATATAATTAAGCCCAGATCCTTGTCATGTTTCATTTTCATGAATAAATAAGTCTCTTTCATAACATCGAAGTTACTCAAGAAAAGAAAACTGGAAAGTGTTTTGTTTTAGCTCATAGTACTAGTCTGCCTCACAAAAATTAAGGGTCTTAATATCTCTGTCCCTCTCTTGAACTGTTTAAATTTCTAGATCTATTGGTTTCGGACTGTGAGATTCGGAAGGGATATGAATTCAACACTAATACCTTGCAGTGGTTTAGCAAATAGACTTTTTGGATAAATTTACATGTTCAACACCTTTATCTATTTAGCTTTAGGTGTCGTCACAAAAGCTTCTTCATTTTGTGATATCATTTTCATACATCCATTGGTAACTTATTAACACATATATACTTGGATGGGGGAAGTTTACCTTATTCCTATATTCTGGGAGAGTTTGCTAGAAGTGCCTAATAAGCTATTAGCTATTATCCTAACGTGGCATGGTCATGTTTTTAGCTATCTATGGCAACTTTTATAGCTATCTTGCCGAGGTTAGAGGGTTTGATGTGAGGAAAAGGAAGGAAGGAAGGAAGGAAGGAAGTTTAGGATTAGATGGTTTGATGTGTGGAAGGAAGGAAGGAAGGAAGTTTAGGATTAGATGGTTTGACGTGTGGAAGGAAGGAAGGAAGGAAGGAAGGAAGGAAGTTTAGGATTAGATGGTTTGATGTGTGGAAGGAAGGAAGGAAGGAAGGAAGGAAGTTTAGGATTAGATGGTTTGATGTGTGGAGATTGTTAGTGGACTTGTTTGCTATTGATTGAGGTGCGTGGTTTATGAATTGTGTTCAAAACTTCTTATTTTTTGATAAATGAAAAGAATTATCAGGGGGTTTTCTCTATTTACTATTCTCTATCTATTTTTATGTCAAGCATGATAGCTTTAGTGTTGCACTATTCTAAGGGATAAATGAAAACAAGGGGACATTAGGGCAAAAAGGTCATTATGGGTCAGGTGGTGAGTTATATTTGATGAAGAATATAATGAACACGTAAGGGATAATGCAATATGGAATTATGTGCTATATGATTTTGTATAAGTACTCTATCAACTAGCATATTACATATTCTACTCATTAGGTGACGATGGTTGTTACTCACCCTTCATTCTACAGATGAGTTATTTGACAAGACAGAGACTGGACGAGCTGATTTTGTGTTAGACGAGAGATTTAAGAGTTTTATTTCATTTTTTGTAATGTTTTTTTTATTATATATACAAGAAGGATTTTATTTTTCACTGTTGTTTGAGTATTTTTTTTATAAAAAAAAAACTATTATTAGCACTCCAAAGATCTCAATTTACACTCATCACAAGTGTATTTTTCTTTTTAATTATGGAAAGTTTGAAGTGCCAACAACAATTTTTTTTTTTTTCCATTTTATTTGCGCACCGAATCCAAGTTTTTTTTTTTTTTTTTCACTAACCCCCAATTTGGGGCGTGACACCTAGTCTATAAGTTAATGAACATGTTTATTAATGCATTTCCCAATTTCTTTGGACTTAAATTTACTTTTCATAAATGTCAAACTTTTAGCCTAACAAACGTTGATGTTGGGTCATCCACTCATCTTTCGTCAAGTGTAAAATAATGGAAAAGATGAGTTTGGGTTGCCATGCTTATAGGTGTGACCTTTGAATGGAATAAACAAGTAGACTAACCTCAAAGAAACTTCCTATTTTAGTCAAACCTAGAAAGTTTGATTGTCCAAATTAAATAGAATTAAGTCGTAATTGGATGTTAAACTGACTAATTGTGATAGTTTTAATCAATTGATTAAAAGGAAGTGTTTGTACAAGCTTGGATCTAACCTTAGATACCACCTTGAATTGTAAGTCGCTAGGATACCATCCACACGCCTAACTCCAGAAAAATAGAAGTTTCTCTCCAAATTTTCTTTTTCTTTTCTATACAAGTAATATTAGCTAGAGAGAATTGAACACAAACTTTGAGTGCAGCAGTGAATGCTCATAAATAAAATAATTGAGTCACTATACTACATTGATTGTGACATGCAAGTAAAGAGGAAGACGAGAGAGATGAGAAAGGCTCGTTATTTTCCATTGCATCCAATGAGCTATACCATAATACCAAATAATGATTACATAGAATGGCTTCACCATCACCATGACTTCTCGATTGACTAATACAATGTCACATGTAAGTTTCCCTTCACATGATATTGCATTGTTGAATTAAAACGCTTCGTGACGATGAATTAGTTCTATGTAAGTTGCTCATCCGCATCCAGAGACCAACAACGTGTATTTTTGTTTAACAAAGATAAAAGAAATCCTACAACCACAATGATAACATAGGTACCGTTTGGTACGCAAACGGGATGAAATGAAACAAAAGTTTTGGGTTATGCTTGGTACACGCATGACGGAACGGGACGGTTGTTCCGTTCTACGTTTGGTAAGCGCATGACGGAATGGAACCAAAAGATTAAACGATTAATTTATCCCTGTTTCGTTTGTTGTTTGGTACAATATTTATGCGTGAAACGAGACAAGACTTTCTTGTTTTTTTAAACGTTCTTAGATGTTGTTGTCAATTGTTTTTTCTGTTTCACAAGGCTTTGTGGAGTCTAGTTCAGTTTGATTATGATAAAGGCAGACTTAAACCTTGAAGGATTTGGTTTTGAATCTTTGCATTATAGTGTAAGTTCTTGCTGAAAGTGTTATGAGGACGTTTTGCGAGTCTTTGACCAAATCGACGGACCCAAAACCATTCTCCACCTCCCCAACCCCAACCTCTTCCCCGGACCCGAAACCCTCATCCCTTTCCGCCAGCTTGAGCTTTGTCTTCAACCAAATTGACGCCATAGAGAAAGAACGCTCCGAGAAGGATCAGACCCTCCAGAAAATCAGAGCTTGGCACGAATCGAAAAAATCCCAATTGACCCGGAATTAGGCTTGGGAGTCGCCAATCACAGTGGAATTGATGCTAATTTGGTTGATTCTGTATCTGTTTCGGTCGGGTCGGAGAGGCTGGAAAAGTCAGTGGCGGCTAAGAAGGAGGTGAGGGTGGTGCACCAGTGACCGAAGTGGATTGAACTGATGGAGAGGATGAGGATGAGGAGGAAGGCTACGGGAAAAGAAAGGCAGCAGCGGCAGAGAAGATGGAAAGAAGAAGATAGAATTTTAGGGTTTGTTTTATGATTTGGATGTTGTAAATATTGAAAAAGATAAGGGCCGTTTTTGTCTTAAAATTTTATAATTTTGTGTTCCACAAGAGTGGAACGAGTTGTTTCAGAAAGAGGAGATGGAACGAAAATTCAGCCAAAACTCCTTCCGTGGGACAGTGCGTCTCATTGTCTTTTGAGCACCAAACATGGGACTAGGATATAAAACATGAATACAAATATCATTAGCGGTAGAGATGTGAGGAGTTTGTAAGCCATCGATCTATCCATAGCTATAAGTTGTTGACATCATATCGCAATTTACAAGTAAAAATAACATGTTAATTATTTGTAGACGTTGACAATTTAATTAGCGTAAACTATATGACAAAACTATTAATTAGCATAATGTTGAAGCCAAAAGAGTTCTTAATCAAGAAAAATGTTGAGGAGACTAAAAGTGAAACTCTTTATGAACTCTCTTTCATATCATATTTGTAGCACAATATTTTATAGTGTTGACACGAGAATTGACGTTAAACTATAAGACAACAGAGAATCAATTGAGAGTTTTTTTATTGTGTTCGGAACACAAGTAGTACACTACGTGTTATTATATAAGTGATAGAAGTTTTATTTTTTAAGTTGTTA